TGTCATTGAAATAGATAAGACACCACCTCATCAGACAAGATCAACTCCCCCGACACCGTTTCTGGATTTCAGCGGGGACCCGAGGCGCTGAGGTTGGTGAAGTCCTGGGAATGAACATTCGCCTGAGGCCCAGAGCACGCAGAAGGCTTTTATTTCACTTCCTTTTGTTTGATATTACTTTATTTTCAAAGAGATCTGTAGCCCTGAGCTCTAGCAGGCAAAGCCCTGTCCTGAGGATGGCTGGCAGGGTCTCCCCCTCTGTCCGCAGACTTCCCCTCCCCCCCGCGCCCGCACACAGCGAGGTGAAGGCTGTCTGGGAGACAGGCGGTCAACCAAACGCAGGCATTGGCGTGAAGTGACGCCTAGGGAAGGATGCCATCAAAGTTCCTTTTTATTTTATTTTTATTTTTCCTGTGCAGGAATCAACCCTGAGGTGGTACCTAGTTGCTGGGGCTGTTGACAGAGGCAGAGCAGGAGAATTGGGCTGCCACTTGGCCGAGTTCCGAGACACAATCGAAATCCTGCCCCACTGTTCTATCAGGGACAGTTAGGAAGGTTCTAGGTATTATCTCAAAGCGACTAGCAGGAAGAAGGGTTTCAGCTCCGGACCTTGGGCGCTGCGGCTCACTGAAGGAAGCAAAAGGACTTTTCTAAACCTTGAACAAGAAAGCTTTGGCTCTAAGGAAACAAACAACCCCCAGACTTAATTTTGGTTCATCAGCCTCCAGCACTACGGGCCATTTTCTAAATTGCCAGAAGAGGGGGAAGGGTGAGTGGAAGAACACAGCAAAACAAAACAAAGCAAAACCTTGGCTGGGTGCAAAGAAGAGGGTAAGGCGGAAAAGACAGGGAGAGAAAAGCCAACGAGACCTTAAACATTTTTACCAGAAGATTAGGAGAACCGAATGGGGAAACATCCATCAAAATCGCAGGCTATCCCCACCCCACCCCACACACATTGGTTGGAGAGCAACTAATTAGCCTCCACTTCATTTAGCCTCCTTTTAGAAAGACAGAGGAAGAAAGGCAGCCCTGCAACATTATCACCCCAAAGTAAATATCTTCTCCATACGGCCATTGAATGTTTTTAAAAGCATGTTTTAAATTAAAAGGAAGCTAGATGGGTCTATTAGGCATTCTTCAGCTAAGTAGCTTAAGCTTCAAGTATCTCCCTTTTTCCACAACTGCTACAGTGCATCGCCACAAAAGGAGTAGCTGTGATTTTTAGAGTAATTAAGTAGAATTAACTACTTTAATGGGGGCATTTAATTTCTTGCAGGACTTCCTTAGTCCGTCAACAAAAATCTAAAACCAACATTTACATAAAACATAAAATATTCAGTGCAGAAATGAAACCATGCATCCTGAACACAATAAATTCTACTTTCCATCTTTTCAGATAGAAAAATCAACACTGAAAAGGTCTCCCTTGGGAGGGGGGAGCAGGAGAAAGGAGGAGGTGACACCTTTGAAGATCAGCATAAAATCTCCACGGTTTCATGTGCTAAAAATCTGAATAGGTAAATCAGTTATGTGCCCATAGAGGTATTTCTAACAGCTCATTTGAAAAAACATCTCCTCTAGAATTATCGTTTTTCAGGTTAAATTAAAGCACAATGATTTGGGAGGATGGAGGAGGGGGTTTTCTTTTTAATTCCCTCTGAAAAAATCTGCTACAGGGGGTTCCCTTCCATTCCTTTCCAGACCTGATTCGCTGAGTCCACCTCGACTCTTGCATGTCAGCGTGCTTGCTTACATTAACTGCAGTTCGCTGGGGGTTTATAAATCAATCAATGGGGAGTCTATATTCATAAAGACTCTGATCTGGTTACACCCTTCCCTCTCTCCTCGGTTCAAAAAAAAAAAAAAAAAAAAGTTAAACCTCCCAGCCGGGACTCCCCATCTAGATCAGATCTGTGGTGGGCCCGACTGAGGCTTGGGGAGCTGGGCGACAGGCGTCGGAGACTCGTGGATTTGGATGTGGATTGAAGGGACAGACCTTTGTTTTGGTCACCACCGTGACAGGGGGCGGGGAGGTTGTCCTCTTTCCCGGACGCGCAGGAGTTTTATAGACACCCCTTAAAAGGGTTCGCTGTTCTCCACGGGTTAATTTATAGGGCTTTCGGGGACTATTGGGACTTTAAAGTTAACTATTTTCCCCCCGTTATTTGTTGGTGGTGTTCTTACACTCCTGCGAGGACTCCAGGTTTCAGTACCTCGTGGGGAGGTCTGGGGCGAGAAAAACCAGGTCAGGGAGAAGCGGATTGCTCTTCGGATCAGGTTGCCTGTGGGGCTGGGGCTTGCCATCGTATTTCTCTTACCATTACATTTATAAGTAAGTTCTGGCCATTACCTCTGAGATTTAGGAACTGGGAGGTGATAAAGAGGAGTGTGGGTTGTATACACCTTTCTCCCAGCCTCCGCCAACCTGAATCGAATCCCGTATTAGAAGAATGGTGAGTTTGAAGACCCTAAGGAGATTTTTTTTAAAGTCTTTTTTTTTTTTATACAATAAAAACCCAGTTTTAATGTAGCCATCAAGGTGGATGAAAATTCAAGTGTGTAGCAAGTGGGTGGGTGAGTAGGACCTAGCGCCTACCCGACGGTCGGGCTAAGCAAGGCCTCCTTCGCTTTAAGCCAGGTTTGCTCTAGCTTTCCCTGAGGTGCGTCACTGGGCACCTAGGCCACTGAGGCCTGCCTCTCCCGCTCAGCGCGCTCGCTCGCTCGCCATGTTTGAACCCATGCGGGGGAGGTTGGTCTTCATGCTATAGATTACCTGAAAGTTTTCTTTAAGCACCTTTAATACACAACTAGCTCAGAAATCATTAAGAGACCTAGAGAAGGAGAAAAAATACCCTCACACTCACCGGTAATAAGTGTTGACATGCAGCAAAAATCGATTGAGTGGAACTGAGGTGGTGGAGGTGGCGATGGCTGGAGGGGGTGGGGTGGGGTGGGGGAAATCCGCGCAGGAGCGGGAGGGGCGAGGGGGGCAGGCTCCACCCGCTCGGGAGCTAGGCTTCTCCGGCTCTAGGGGACAGAGAGGAGCTGCCTGGAGGGTGAGTAGCCTGTGAGTCCTGGAGGAAGCCGGAGTGGAAGTCCAGAGAGCATACGGGAGGTGTTGGAGACGGGCCTATCTTCTGTCCCAAGTCTCCGCCCCCAGTCCGAACCTCTAAAGTCGGGGAAGTGCTAACTCTTTTTATTTATTTATTTATTTATTTATTTATTTATTTATTTATTTATTTATTTATTTATTTATTTAATTTCCACTTTGATCTCCTCTAACAGAATTCAAGTTGGGCCAACAAACTAGGCTGAGACTCACCTCTTTAAACGTAGGCTCCCAAGTCACCCCGGGTTAGACCAGCCCGAGAAGTAAACCGAGCCGGCTGCCCTCGGCGGCTCTTCCAGGCAGGATCCCCAAATCTTTTACCCCGTTCGCTCCCCGTCTCAGCTCTCAGAAAGACACCGACTGGCTCCCCCACTTCACCCCCCCCCCCCTTCCCTGTTCCAGAAGGCAAAGTCCGCCTTGGGTGACGGCTTTCCTCTCCACTGCTCTCAAGTGAACAAGGACGGAGGTGACCCTCGTCCAAAGGCCTTCTTCTATCTGCCCCCCACCGCCGCGTGATCCCGGCCCAGGACAGGGGCAAAGCTTTCAAGAGAAAGAAAGTTAATGTGCACGGAGCACTTGATCTTAAATCGGGGATATTATCTGCGATCTGTTTAAACAGCAGCAGCAGATCCTCGCAGAACAAAGACTCGGCGTCTGAACTCCGAAAGCTCCTAGGTAGAGTTTCGGTGAGATAAAAAGGACTTAAGCGTGAAAACACCGGCTTTCTTGGCTTCAGAAAACCGGAGACCACTTTTCTCTACCAGTTCCCTGGGGTGGTGTTTGTCCTAGCATACTGTGGGGGGCGGGGTTGGGGTGGGGGGCAAGAATAACAAAAGACCCCAGCACAACCTCTGGTGACCCTCCCAGCGCCTAGGCCGTGAAGTCTTATGGAGTTAGCCTTATGTGCTAACTACTGGTTACGAAATCAAATTTCACATTTAACAAAAAGGAGCTAAAACGCTGCGTTGGAAGGAGGAGGTCGGGGCTTAAAGTTCTTTCAAACACACTCACATGGACCTCATTCCCTGTTTAGATGTCAGAGGATGGGGGGAGGGCCCAAGCTGTAATTCATCTTGATTTGCTTCATTGTCCTGCAGTTTGCAAACTATAATCCTGTATAATTTCAGGAACAAGCAGGTTTAGAATTAATGGGTCAATATTATTTAAAACAAAACACAGGGAGCATGACCTTTGCCTCAACTACATATTGCTCTACAAGGCCCAGGAAACTCCACTCTAACCCTCGACCCCTGGGTTCTTTGACACACTGAAACTGCTGTAGTTATTAGAAATGGTCTTTGTTTCTTTCCATGTCTCCAAAGGACTTGGAAGTAGTAATACAATATAAATGAAGGATCTCTCTACTTAAGCCTCAGAGATAAACGTGGAGGCCTAAATATTTTGAACTGAAGGTGTTTCCTTGTGAATTTATTATAGATGTGTACCTTCTAAGAAGCTTATGTGTGTAAACTGTATATGTGTACACACTCCCATATTTCTCCGAAACAGTTGACTGGAGGTGTGGTTTTCCCTCTGACTGAGTGAGCTCAGGAATCATTCCAAGCTGGTTGGCATACTTCAAAATTTCTTTCACCTTTCTTCTTTCTCTGGTATTATTTGCTAACAACAATGGTATCTTATGGAGTTAGGCCAAAAAAAAAAAAAAAAAACAAAAAACAGAGACACATAACATGTTGCGGCTTCCCCACCTCCTAGGCACCCTTCTTTCCCTCTTTTAGTTTCCAACGAATGGCTGGAATCTATTTCTATTGAATTTAAATACTGCCCTGTATGTTTGACTAGGCAGGCAGAGGAAACTGGTTTGTTTAGGAGGCAGTGACTGAGACACCCTGGCCAGGTGACAGAGAAAGGGAGAAAGAATCCACACCAATTTGTATGCAGTATATTTTACTCCCAAGAAATAAAACACATTTTTTTTCATATTTGCTGAAAAGTAAAACGATAATATCGTACGAAATGTTATACACAGGATAGTTGTACATAGCAGTTTCAGAAACAATGCATCCACCAGAGAAACTATTCTAGAACTTATATTCACACATTTTTTATAATAATAATATGTTAGAAACATACAATGTGGCATTTAGTATATACATTCCTTTGCTCGCAAGCGAAAATTCTAGCCGATTCTGTATAACATGCTTTCTTTTTAAAGCCTAGACTTTAAAAACACTGTCGTGATAGTACTAACAACTGCTTTTATAAAATTAATTTGACATTTCGATATATATACATCCTTTCAGTCATTTTAATGTTAACAATGCTAAACTTAAAAAATAACAAGCTTATAGTAATGTTAAAATGTCATATCCAGTCAAACATTTGTTGGTGTACGCCTTCTCCCAACTGTTGGAAATACTTTTAGCGAAAGATGTCAGACACTTGGGGGCGTTCCTTTGAAATCAAAGGCGCTCTCTTTTTGAATTCAGTGGTTTCTTTTCCTCCGGATATCTTCTTTTTCCTCTTCCCTTCCGTCGTGCGCACGACCTTCTAGTACAAGTCTCAGTCTTTCTGGGGGCAGAGTTGCCCCCTCCGACAGTCCTCGGATCCCCGCGCCCTGGGCGCGGTTCACACCGGCCGGTCGACTGCGTACTGGCAAGCACTCAGGTTGGAGGCCGGGTTCTGCACGCTGGCGTAGCCGAAGCTGGAGTGCTGCTTCGCTTTCAGTCTCAGGCTGGCCAGGCTCGAGTTACAAGTGTCCCGATACACGTACGGAGGAGTCGGCGGCGCGTAAGGACAGGCGGGCGTCGGCACCGCGGAATTCAGCGACGGGCTGCTCAGGTTGTTCAAGTTATTCAGGCTATTGAGGCTGGAGCCCGGGACGCCGGTCACCGCGGAGGGCACCATGCTGGACGACATACTCATGGAGGAGATGGAGTTGGGCGGGGAGAACATGCTCTGCGACGACAGGGGGTTGACGTTCATAGAGTTGAAGAAGGGGGAAGCTCTTGGTGGACAGGGACGCCGACGTGAGGCCCTTGGCGGCCCAGTTGTTGTAGGAGTAGCCGGGGTACATGTCGTCGTAGGGCTGCATGAGCCCGTTGAACTGCGGCCCGAAGCCGTTCTTGCACAGCTCGGCCTGCTGGTTGCGTTCGCGCTTCCTCCATTTGGCCCGGCGATTCTTGAACCAAACCTGGGGTAGTGGGGATAAGGGGTGAGACAGAGGGGCACAGAGACAATGATCAGTTAAAAACTCGTTCACACAAAGTGCCAGAAGCCAACCCGGGGGTCACCCTCTTGCTGCCTGCCCCGCGTCCCTGCAGTCTACAAGCCACTGAGAATAGTGAAAACGGTACTGGCTGGCGCGTGTCCCAGGCCTTGGTAAAGCTCCGAGGCCTAGTCCTCTGCAGCTCGAGAGCCTGGGCTCTGAGCTGTGCCACAATGCCCGGTCGAACGCCTAACTGCCTACCGGCCGCTTGATCCCCCAACCTAGGCCCTACCTGGGGTCCAAACACACTGCAGAACGAACAGGGCCATTCCCGGACCTTGCAAACTTGCTTCCATTCCAAAGCCACAGATCCAGCGATGAGGACCAGAGGCACTGAGAGGGCACCCACTCTCCTCCCACACAGCCCCTCCCTTCCCCCCAGTACCTCCATGCTCGCCCCCCACCCCCACCCCCCAACGCGCTAGGACCCGGATGCGACACCCTTTCTTTCCTAGAAAAACAACCAAATAAAAGGCAAAAAGCCCACCTCCTCGTCTGCTCCTTAAATTCCAGGAGTTAGGCAAACTGGCAATCCTGAACCAGCCTGTCCACAGCCCTCCACCTCCCTCCGTTTTGTTCTGTACCACCCCACTCCCACGCAGGCCTCGCCAGCTACCGGCTCAGCTCTGGACCGGACCAGTGCGGTCGTTCGGCCTTGCGGGAAGCTACTCAAGCTGGCCAGGCCCAACCCCGCGTCCCGTGGCCCCGCCACAACCCCTCTTCCAATCCACACCGGGCCCACCAGTCGCCCCAGACAGCGGCTTTTGTGTATTGGAGCGAGGCCTGGCCCAGCAGCTCAGAGCTGAGACTGGTGATGTTTCACATTACACATCTCCGTCGCGCCCAGCCGTCTAATCCGCTTTTTTTTTTTCTTTTTCCTTTCATTCTTGATTTCCTTTTTTTTTTTTTCTCCCCCTTCCTCTTTGCACTCGATTGCTATAAAAAGCAAGCCTCACGCACTTGGCTGAACAAGTGAGCGCCTGGAAGGAAGCAACTGGAGCAAGCACCCGCTGCAGAGGAACAGGGCCGCAGAAAAGCGGGTGGGGTTGGGAGGGCTCTCCCCGGGGATTTCAGTGAAAGACAAATTGTGTCTTTATTTTAATTACTTGTCATTTCTACTCCAGGCCTTCTAAACTTTGACCAGGCGAGAAGAATACGTGCAAGGCCCATCGTTCCCTGATGCGAAAGAAAGCTAAAGAAAGACTGACCTTGCTCAAAACCACGCGGCCCCAGCACGAGCGCTGGCTCGGGCAGTTAAACTAAAACCACTCCCCACTTCTTCCCGGCTCCTTTATCAGTCGGCACAGCCCAGCCAGCAGCCGTGCCGCGCGCACAGTGTCTTCCTTCTCTTTGCTTTGGGAATACACTTTAGTTTTTATTTTCGTTGTTGTTTAATATTCTTTTTCTTTTTGCCCCCCCCTTCTTTTTTTCCCCCCTTTCTTTCTTCTACACAGACTGCGTTTTATAAAACAGCGATCTCTGGAGTTTTCTGGGTTCCATTTTTCCTCTTTCAGAATCTTAACAATTTTGGAAATTCCCACCGACCGGCGTTAAACCAGGATACTTCTACTGGGTAATTTATTTAAGCTTTTTTCCCCCCCACAGTCCGTAAAGGAGCAGATTTGCTGCAGAGTGAAGGTAAGCTCTCTTTATAAATCTATAACTATAATTAAGCGAGGGATGTGAGTACAGCCTTCAAAGAGCTGAACTTCCTCGAGAAGATAAATAAACCAAATTAAACCGTCTTTCTTCTCCTTTCTTTCTAAAAGTGCTAGCAGAACAGTCGATACTTCCAAGGATTACAAAACTAGGTAGTTGAGTGTGAGAGAAGTCTGAATGGCTGAAAAACCCGCCCCGGAAAAGACCTGTGAGCAACTCTTGCTAGCGGCTGAGAGAAAAGGCTGGGCCCGGCTGGGCGCGAAGGTTCTCCAGTGAGGCCAACCCTTGCGTGTTTCTGGAGGGTTTTCTTGTTCTAGGCACACAGGTTGGAGCCTGTTCACAGCTCCTGGCGGGGAGGGATTTTATTGGCGCTCGTCTGGCGACGGCAAGCCGGGAACACAATGCCCTTTGCTGAGGAATGCCCGCGCGGCTCAGCTTGGGAGGGCGCCGGATGGCCCGGCGGAGAGCGGGTGAGGCTCCGGGCGCCTGCGCCAGGCCAGCCGCTCTGTCTGGGAACCGGGAGCCCTAACCCCGGGCACACTTGCCGCCTGGAGGCCTTCGGCCTTGCTTCTTGTAAAGCTGCTTCCCACCGGCGCCCCGCTGCCTTGCACCCACCACTTCCACCGCCACCCCGGCTCTGCAGGGTCTGAAGCTAAGGCCTTCCCCCCTGGTTTTCCCAGACTGGGTGCTGGTTCCTACCCGGACTCGGGCTTCCGTAAGGTTGGTCCACACGGCGATTTCTTCGCGAGTGGACATGTCTGGGTAGCGGTTTCTCTGGAAAGTGGCTTCCAGCTCCTGCAGCTGCTGGCTAGTGAAATGAGTCCTCTGCCGGCGTTGCCGCTTCTTCTTGGAGGGGTCCTCGGCTCCCACATCCTCATTCTTTCCCTGCTGGCCCTTATCTTTCTCTGAAACAGCAAAACAAAACAGAACAAAAAGAAACACACACAGTTTCGGTCAGATTCCCACTTGCAAAACGTGAGCTCCTAACAACCGGGTCAGGTGGCAGAGAGGGCACCGAGAGCCCGGCTGCTGGAAGGGGACAGGGCTGTGCCCGGCGGCTCAGTTCCATAGGGAGCGCTGCGTCTGGGGGTGAACCGTGAAGTGTGGGTGTGTGCGCCCCGTTTCCTCCCCTCCCCCAGCGCCGCACGGTTTATTTACACGTTTATCTCACTGAGGCGGTACACTCGTTTTTATAGCCTTTGCTCACAAGCATACAGCCCTGAGAAGACACATCTTTCAAGACACGCACATGTGCGTGGTTTACAGACAACACCCCCCCCCCCCCCCCCAAACCTCAGATTTCCTCACAGTTTTGGAAGGCTAGGAAAGTGAATGTTGGGATACAGGTAGGAATCCAAGTTGGCCAGCTCCTCACCGGGTGGGGAGTTATGTCTCGTTGCCAAGGGCCTTTCTAAGCAGTTTCAGAAATACTTTTTAAAGGAGGGAGGCTCCTTGGGAGGTAAAGGCCAACAAGAGAATAGGGATAAAGGCGGGGCGGCCCCTGAACGTCCTTGGATCGAAATGCTGAGGCATTTGTGACCTAAAAAAACCAAGGTAGACACGGTGGCGTGTGCCGGGTGACTCGCGCCACAGGAACCAACTCGGTGGGGGACCGAATGGAAGGGACAGGGTCACTAGAATTACGGCTCCCGGAAGTTCTGCGTTGAGCTAACAGAACGACCACTCCCACCACGCCTCCCCCAGGAGGGGGCGACTTCCTCGGGGATCAAGAGGACCAGGAGGCGCCGGGGGGCTGCGCTCAAGTGTCCGTGGGGCAGCGCGGCGCCTTACCTGAGGCTTCAGGGCTGGAAGTATCGGAGATTGTGTGCACCTCCAGTCTGTGTTTGGAGGAGTCCAGGGAGCGGGGCTGACCAGGGGCCAGGACCGAAGCCATGGCTAACGCCTGGGGATGGTGACAGAAGGGTGAGGAGGCGGCCGACAGCTTAGTCCCGGCTGCTCGGTGCTCCAGGGGCAGCGGGCCTTTCATGCAGTTCATGGACGAGGGAGTGCGGCACGCTAGGAGTCCCGGGCTACCGCCCGCCGAGCCCCGGTGGCCGCCGGTTCTGGGTGGCACTCTAGACGCCGAGTGTCCCCGTGTTAGCCGAGACGGCAGAACTAGGGGACGCAACCCCTGCCGAGTCCTCCAGCCAAGCTCCCCCCGTCTTCTCCAGCTGCAGGCTCCAGCCAAAAGTGTTCGGCAGCCGAAAGTCAGGGGGTCAACGGAGACTTGGGGACGTGGGCAGGAGGGAGCCGCTGCGAGCCTCTTTAGGGAGCCGACTTCCACGATCCAAAGCGAAACAAGAATGGGCAAAGACCCTTCTCTTGCCTCCCTCCCTCCCCCAGATACCCCTCCAATAAGGACAGTTACGGGCGCGCTCTGCCCGCCCCCCGCGCTGCAGCCCTGACAGCGATGTGTCAAGAGTGACAGGGACAGGTAGCTGATATTAGATCCCCCGCGGCGGCTGCAGCCGCCACGGCCACGGCGCGGGCCTCCGAGCACACCCTCCGCGGCGCGCACGCACACCCCCTCGGGCCGTCGAGCTGGAGCCGGGCCCCCGCCGCAGCTCAGCTCCAGACACCCCGGCGAGCGACGGACAAGATCTGTGGCTCCGTGTTTCCCTGTTGGCCTAACATCTTAAAACCAGAGGCGGGCTTCCTGGTGGCGAGACGTCACTCTGCGGCGGCCCTCCCCAGCTCTCCCCGCCTCCGCCTCCTCCCAGACCCTTCTCCGGGTCGGAGTGACGTGGCTCCACACCAATCGCGAGGCCCCGAGCCGCGGCAGAGGGATGGTTCTGTCTGCACCTATCAGCAGTGCGAGGCCCAACTAATTCCTAGCTGTGCCCACCGGGTCTACACAGGCGCGCTCCTGGGAATTCTGCTCCCGCCCGGCCAAAGGCAACCCGGCTTTTGGTTAGGACTGGAAGGTGGAGAGAGGAGGCTTGGGGTCGGAGAGTTGGGGAAAAAAGAAAAGTCGAGGACCGAAAGGTACAAGGTTCAGCAAGCACCCCCTTTTCTCTTCCTTTTGTGTCTCACCACATCCATTTCTAGACCAGAGTTCCCCCACACCCCGGGCCAGGACAGAAAGGAGATGTGCTACCTAAAGCTATGAAGTTAAAAACACCAGCAAATCACCTTTCCCCATCTTAATTCCGCCCCCCACCCCGTTCGCCTGTCGGGTGAATGTCGCGCTAATCTGAGGAAGCTTTACTTTAATTGCAAAGAAGACAGAGTCTTGAAAAGGCAGGCTAATAAATTAGAAATCGAGAAGAAAATGGACCCGTCAAAAGGAAATTACCTTGACTTTAGTCGAACAACTGCTTGGTGGTTCACTCTGGATTTATACATGAATAAAAAGTCGCCTCAAATCACGTCCTCTGTAATGCTTATTAGTCCCCAGACAGAAAACTCACAATAGAGTAGAAACCCTAACCCAGCGCTTTCGAAATGCTGAAAGCTTATCCATTCTGCTTAACGTTGATTAAGACACATCCTAGATCTTTCAAATTCCTTGTACACTGTATTAAGTTCGTCCTAGCCAGAGAGAGCTATGCTTTAAATTCGACTCCCTTGTTTACTTTATTATCAATCAGATTCAAATCCAGGCTTTAGCCCGTAGAATCAACAACCTTGAGCTAATTATATAGAAAATATGCCTTAATGAATTTCCATACAATTAAGGACGTTGCCAAATGACCAATTTCAAGGATGATTTTTAACAGTCATTTTCTTTTCCTAGGGAGCTCAAGGAGTAGACAGAAACAGTAGGTTTGTGCTGGGGGGGGGGGGAAGAGGGGAGGAGGGGGGTGCAGCCTAGAGGACTGCCCATCTAGGACAGGCAAAGTCTTTTTCATTTGTGTAAAACAAAACAGGTCACTCGTGGAGGCATCAGCACGGTGCAGCATTATTCCAAAGGAAATTTAAGTTCCAAAGAAATACATTCAAACACATTCAAAATAATTTTTTTTCCTCTAAATTCTTTGTGGGACTAGAAGGGAGGAGTCTGCTCAGTGTTGGAGCTCTTACCTAGCTCTCAGGAGGTTCTGGGCTTGAGATCTAGTCACACACACACACACACACACACACACACACACACACACACACACACACCACCTTTTGTCCCCCAGCCTAGGTCGGCTAAAGAACACAAAGCAAACCTAGCCCTCTCCCCTGGTTTCTGCATTGGTGATTGTTTTACCCTGGAGTTAGTGTTATCATCCCTGAGCATAATTTGTTTGACATTACAGTCAATGATTTGCAACGCCAGTATAAGGAATCTTCAGCAGATTCCCTCCTAGCCCTTATTCACAAGGTTGGGGAACTTAGCCTGGCACTAAGCAGATGAAGCTGACTACAGATGTATTTATAACATTTGTCTCTCTTCTACCCTTACCCGCCCCCCATGCTATCAACAATCCTTCCCATCTTAAATACTCAAGACCATCCAAAGGACCAACATGAGAATTATTTCCAGTCTCGTCACACCACTGTCATTCCATTTTGAGAATCTGTCTACTAGGAGACATTTCTTCATAAGCTTTAGGTCAGCATTCTTGGTTTTTAACCATTTATTCTGCCTCACCCTGTCCTACCCCCCCCCCCCACACACACACCTGCTCAGAGCAGAACACAAGCCCTTGTGCAGGTCTACGTTGACTGAGGCTCATACATCCAGCTATATTAGGTCCTGCAACCTTATCACTAAATTATACACATTACACCAGCAGCCTGTTGGTAAAGAAGGTTAAATTAATTTACATTCTACTCATTATCTGGTGCTTAAATGACGCATTTTATCCCTGAGATTTGGTGGGCCAATCTCCTTCTCAGACCCCACAGCGTTTCACTGAAGACAATGTTCTTACATTTGTAGTGGGTTTTATCTGATAAGACTCTAATTTGCTTAAGTCTTTTAAATAAGGGTTTTAAATGTTTCTAGCCATTTTCTTATTGAATTTCCTCTAATTCCCTCAAGATCATAAAGTATATGTGTAAAGTAAATATTTTTCTCCCGTTCACTTGCCAGCAAATGATCTATAACTAAGTCAATATGAATCTTTTCTGCCCAATATGTTTACTCATCATATTCTAGTTTCTTCTTTTACACCCCATCATGACTGTGGGTATCACAATACAACAGCCCATTAATGCTTCATTTCATGATAGACTCCATTGCATCAAAGAGTGAAAGATTCTCTACTTTGACGGCCATACTCTTCTTTGCCTCGAGATTTGAATTTTGAAGTGTCAAAAACAGTTGTTTTTGTTGTTGATTTGTTTGTTTTTGAGGCTAGGGACCTTTTTGAAGACTTATTTTTCTGTAAAACTGAGAGGGTGCAAAGAGCCATATAGATTTCCAACATCATCTTGCATTCAACCCAGAGACTTTCAGCTTATGCTCTGGTGGTTCCACTCTTCTGGTAGAACATTATATAGAAACACACACACACACACACACACACACACACACACACACACACACACACATGCGCACACAGAGGGCCTCAGCCAGACCCCCAAATGGATGGAAAACCCAAGGGTAAGTAGTTTTTCCTCATAGTGCCAAATTATGGGAGATTTTGGAAAGACACAGATATACAGACAGCCAAGTCTAAACAGATAAAAACTTTAGATTGTGTGGAATCATTAATGTCAAGAGAATAAAGGCATCCAAGCAGTATTCAGAGAATGCTGAGTAAAGTAAAAACAGAATCGCACATCATTGAGGTATATTCATGTATACATCTGTTCACACACACACACGCATGTATGTACATGAGCACACATATACACAAACAACTGATTCAAATGTATTTAAAAGTATTCTTCACAGTCAGCTGACCCTGTCCTACTTACTCTATGTATGCCAAGCAGTTCTGATAGGACGTCACCTTTCCAGGACCCAAAGGGTTCATGCCAGAATAGGTTGTGGAGGTGTGTGACTGAGACCAAGAAATGCTTTGCAATGGAGACTTGGGGGTGGTGACCAAGTTTTGGAGTTGTAATCAGTTTGAGATTTGTGGACAGTCACAGGTGACTTAGACCATAGTCAAATCACACTTTCAGCGAATTCAGTACTACTGTGAACCCATGCTGTTGACTCCAGAAATGATGGTGACTTCAGCCATCATCAAAGAAGTTTTCTATTCAAGAAACAAACAAACAAAAAAAAAGGAAAAGAAAGAAAAAGAAAAAAGAAAAAGAGGTGAGGGAGCCTGGGCTCTGTCATGTGTCCTCCTTGGACCCAAGGAAAGGAAGCCTCATGTTAGGAGGCACTAGCAGCCCCATCAGTTGGGTTTTCTTGCTTACTCCTTCCAAGAAAGACCCTCCAGGAGGGAGGTCCGTGACACAGGGTCAGGCGCGTTTTGAGCGGGTATTTGCCACTGATTGATGACCCGTCTTAAAGTCTTATTTAATTTCACACTCTTTAGTGTTAGTTGAGCAAAGTCCCTGGAGTCATCCCATCCCGGTGAGCAGTAGGTCTGGGCAGTCCCTTTTGGTGGTTACGGGGTATGGGCTGAGACGGAATCAGTCAATCCTCCAATTTTGTAAAGATTCTGCCCTCGGAACTCCCCTGGGAGATGGCTCAATTAGAGGTCTCCCTGAGCTCTCAGGTCATCAGCAGGGGTGTGTGTAGCCCCAGGTGTCTCAAGGACTAGGCCTGGCCAGGACTTGGCCACATGATGGGTAGTGAGTGTGTGGGGGGGTAGTGTTGGGCACAGAGGTCAGAGGAGGCCTGGCACTGTACCCAGAGAAGTGGCCTTTTATTCCCTTTCAACTGAGTGGGCTTTGTTTTGACACACCAGGCTGGAAAAGATCCCCCCTCCCATGAAAGTGACCACCCCTCCCAAATTAAAAGCTTCAGAGTGGATGGTTTTTCTCGTTCCCTGAACATAACAGGAAGCCCAGGTTTGTTGGAGAGGAGGGTTCTGTTGTAAAGCAGAAGGCTGAAGATGAGCTACCATGGCAGCCCCATGAAAACATCCCTCTACCTCTCCAGTCTAACTGTCCAACCTCTTGAAGTGGTTTGGGGCGACAGCCTAAGGAGGTATTAGGGTGCCACTGAGAGGTATCCCCCACTGCCCAGTGAGAAAAGCGGAAGAGATTGGGAGGAAGGGGGTGCTGGCATGACTAACCCAGGAACAGCTAATGTCCTCTCACAGGCTTGCCCCTGAGCATGACAGGTTTACTGGGCACTCATTTAATTTCTAGAAAGCACCACTTTACTGAGCCATGAGATTGGTATACTTAGATGTGACGTAGGGGTGTGGAGAAGAGAGAGAGGGAGAAAAGGAAATAGAGACAGTGGGAGAGGAGAGGAGGAGAGGGAAGCTGAGGAGAGCAAGGCCACCGGGAAGAGAAGGAACATGAAAATAAATACAGATATCCAGGTTTGGAGAATGGGAAGTGCAAGCGGCTAACTGAAGTCACTCAAAAAAATAATTGGATTAAAACCAATCCTCTCTCTCCAGCTCATGTTCTCCTCCTTTTCCTTTCTCTTCCTCTCCCTTTTTTTTTTCTGTTTTTTTTCTCTCTCTCCCAGACATGCTGGTAGCTAACATACAGCATTAGTTGCCATGGTGACCATAAATCACATAAATCCAAAAATACCCACCTATAATCTGAGATG